GAGCGGTGCCCAGAACTGGACACAGTACTCCAGCTGTGGTCTCACCAGTGCTGAGTAAAGCAGAAGAATCACTTCCTTGGTTTTTCTGGAGGTGCATGGGTTAATGCATGCCAGAGTATTGTTTGCCCTGCTGGTTACAGCATCGCACTCACAGCTGATGTTAATACTGTGACCTAGTATGACCCCCAGGTCCCTTTCAGTTGTGGTGCTAGTCAGTTTGGCACCACCAAGTCTGTAGGTATGTTGGGGGTTGTTCGTCCCCAGTTGGAGCACTTTATACTTCTCAGTTTTGAACTTCATCTGGTCTCGATCTGCCCAACTCACCAGCCTGTCTAAGTCTGCTGGTATCTGCAGCCTATTTTCAAGTGTAACCACGCTACCTCATAACTTGGTGTCATCCATGAACTTGGCCAGTGAGCTCTTCACCCCCACATCCAAATCATTGATAAAGATGTTGAAAAGCACTGGACCAAGCATGAACCCCTGAGGGACACCACTGACCACTTCTCACCGGGACGACACGGATCAGTTCATTAGGACTCTCTGGGTCCTACCCCGCAGCCAGCTTCCTACCCACCTGCCTGTTGAGCAATTAGGCCTGCAATTCTCCAATTTTCCCAAGAGAACATCGTGGGATACCAGATCAAAGGCCTTTTGGAAGTCTAGGTATACAATGTCAAGCTCTTCTCTCTTATCCAGGTGGCGAGTTACCTGGTCATAGAAGGAGATGAGATTGGTAAGACAAGACCTGCCCACGATGAAGTCATGCTGGCCATCATTCAGACTCCTACCTTCTGCAAGCCTATCACACATAGAGTCCGTGATGAGTTTTTCCAGGATTTTCCCTGGGATAGAAATTAGGCTGATAGTTGCCCAGGTCCTCCCTCCTCCCCTTCATGAAGATAGGCACAACATTGGCCCTCTTCCAGTCTTCAGGGACCTCCTCCAAGCACCACAAGTTTTGGAAGAGTTTCGCCAGAGGTCCTGCGATGACTTTGGCCAGCTCCTTCAGCACTCTCAGATGAAGTTAATCCGATCGTGTTGACTTATAAATGTCTAACTTTTCTAACTGATCATGCACCAGCTCACCATCAACAGTAGGAATGCGGTCATTCCCACCATGCCTGTTCTGAACCTTATCTAGTATGATTTTCCCCTTAGTCCAGTGAAATACCAAAGCAGTCATTTGGGAGTTCAGTTTTCTCCTGAGTGTCTTACAGATGCTTGTTCTGACTTACATAGAGGAGGATGTCTACATCTTTTAGTAGTCAGGTGTACTTTTCTTTTCTGGTGCTTCCTTTGCTTTCCTCAAGCCAGACTGGTTCCCAGTGATCTGTGTGTTCCCAGTGACTCTGACTGCAATAATTTATCATCAGTTTGGGTTGAGCGACTAAGTCATTTTTGTTCTCCTGTCATTGAAACCTTGGCAGTTACTCCCTTTCTGTTGGAAGGAGAAAAATAATATTGTACTTAGTCACCATTCATTTAAAATCTTTTATCTTGTATAGTTTCCTTCGTTGATGCAGAAGCAGCATTCCCTTTCATCTCCTAATGCCTAGGGACTGCCAGAGGTTGAGTATATGAACCTACTATAACTTCTGTCTGCCCATTTCCTGCTGCATTGACTTCCTCTGCACTGTCAGGTGCAATTTGAACTTCATTTACAGCGTCAGTGGATGCAAATGTTCCCTGGGACATTCTCTTCTCAATAAAATCTCAAACTACAAGATGTGCTTCAGATCTCGTGTTAATTCTCCACTCTCATCACTAATAGTATTGGACACATTTATCCAAGTCTTTTGTTTATTCATTGTGGATTTAAGTCGGTGTATCGTTTGGTCATCCTCTTTAGTGTTTCTCAAGCCTTTCAGTGCTGCTTTTCTTGCTACTGCCATGTTATAGCTTTTGTTTTTCTCTGCACAAATGACCTGGTCCAAATTCACTTTTGTCTCTTTACAGAAGACTTTTCTATTTACTTCCATACCTCATGAAACCTCCATTTCCCACGTGGCATTTCTAATGTGACCAGGTTTCACCTAGTACATCTTCAGCTGCTGTAAGTAAAATTACCTTCCCTGAATCTCAAAGTGAATCTGCATTTAGCTCTCTAAGATTGTTGGTCAACTTGGTTACAAAGCCCGGGCTTTCTGCTTAAGCTAATTTTCACCATTTGTTCCTTTCCCCGATATTCTCTTTCTTTACTTTATCCAATGTCAGCAAGTGTGATACTGTGTGGGACCATGTTGCTCTCCCAAGGTATCAGTCATTCAGTTTGGTTATATCTCTACTTCTAGACATCGCTCACCCTATTTTTAATGAATGTCCATCTCTTCTGGAGGTGATTTTATCATCACTCTTTTCCTGGGAAACTGGGTTGACTGGTGCCATACTATGGACTTTCTCATTTTGAAAAAAATGTCGCCTTCCTTTTATCCATGTCCACAATGCAAATGGTCTGCATCCTAAATACAGTGTGCATCTATGCATCACTTCCCGTAAGGACCCACCCATTGGATGGAAAGGCTGCTAGAGATGCTTCTACAGTTGTTGTAACATCATCCTTTTCTATGCAGTGCCAAAATGAATTGCTTTCACTCCCAACTTTGATTGTCATCAGCCTGTCATTGACTCTTACTTCTAAGGTTCATCATTGCAAATGTTTATTGAGAATAAATCCATTTCTTTCTTTTTTTCCCCTTGAAATTACTTGAAGAAGGCCAGTTGGATAGATGGCCATGATCATGTTCACTATCTCTCTTGAAATCAGTATCTTGAAAATTTATCAAAGCATCCTCTTTCCTCCTCCTTGCACATCACAGATGGCTGCATCTCTTCCCACCTTCCTTGGTGCCACTGTGAGCTTTTTAACTTACATATGCTTCTGGAGGGTTGGTGCTTTATACTTCATATAACCATCCTTCCACTTGGGTGACAGAGGCCATGAGCTATTGAAGGTTTCTGCCTTCTCTTCTATTCTAAATGTCCTCCTTTCCTTTTCCTTTGAGTCCCCATTAAATGTTTGAGTCCATTGGATCATTTGTCCAAATCCCAGTCAGGCACTGGATGGTGGAGTAAGCACTCTCTATACACTCTCTAACACAGGTTATCAAGGTCCTACACCAGACTTAATCTGCCACATCCAGCGAGGGGAGATGGAGCTCTGGATGTGCAGTAATGAGGAAGCCGGAGAAAGTTCGTTGTCTGAGGACTTGTCCCCAGGTGAGTCTTGAAAATGCTTGACCCCTTCCACCCACACCTCAGCTGAGAACCTCTCAAGGGTCTGAAAACCTGAACACTTGCCTTGAGCTGGTGCCACAACGTCCTGACATCACACAGCTTGGCCAAATGTACGTTGTCCGGGCAGGTGTGTGTACCCACTCCTTGCATTTCAGTGATGCAGGCAAAGGCAACTGGTTCCTTGTTCTTCCCCTACTTAGGGCTGTTTAGGTAGGAAATCCACCTTCAGGCTTTCAGATCCTCCTCACCGGAGCCATTCTGGTGCAGGTTTCTGTTATGGAAGGGAGGGGCTGGCCATCAGGAAGTAATAAAATGCTAGGGATAAAGTCTAGCCCGCTGCCCTGATTTGAGGCACAAATCTGGTACCCCCATGAGCTGACATTTCCATCTGCTCTCAGAAATGCAAGAGTTGCTAGCCCAGCCCAAGGTGGCCATATCTCTGTTATACCCTCTGGCAGGACCTGATCTTGTTTGAATTCCCCCGTGGCAGCTGTCAGAGTTGGCAGAAACCCTGGAGGGTTTCTTAAGGACTGTGTTGTAGATTGATTAGTTTGAACTGGAACTCTGCTCCTCCCCTCTGTAATGGTCAGGGAAGAAAGGCAGTGTTCAGTCAGTACCTCTGGCTGTTTGAAATGCCTGCTAGGTGCAGTTTGGATTCACAAGCTTTCTTGCTTGGGGGGGTGGGGGGGGGGCGGATACAAGCACCTCCTTGTTTGCATTACAATTGCCCAGGCTCTGCTCCCTTGCTGGGGCACAAGGGGTACAAGCTGTGGGACCTGAGCCCAACTCCACGGGGAATCCGCCCCTTTGTTCTTACAGAGTAACAGAGGCCTGGCCGTACTCTGGGGCACATCCCAGCATGGGGGAATAGCAGATCTTTCCCTTTGCTAGCTGGGCAGGGACTAATTTCTGGGCTCCTCTCTCCACCCTGCAGATGCTGAGATACTGGGCAGAGCTGAGCAGCAGCAGTTTCCTGAGCCAGGGTCTGCCAACGAGCAGCCGGTTCATGCTGGAAACCAGCTCCACACCCAACAGGGACAGAGAACAGCAGAGACCCAAAGGAGCAGAGAAGGAATTGAAGGGCAGAGAGACCTGAAAAGCTGTCACAAGAGCATGGCTCTAGAGGGGCAGGGGCTGCATATATGTGGAGAGCCCAGTGAGAGCTTTGGGGACAAACAGGAACGCGGGGTCCATGGGAGAACCTACTGGAGGGAGGATGCCCACCCCGGTGCCGAGCATGGGAACAGCACCCACCACACACGCCCTCTCCTCGGGGACCAGAGAATGCACTCAAGGGACCAACCCCGCCTCTGCCCGGAGTGTGGGAAGAGCTTCGTCTCCCTGAGCGACCTCCGAGGACACCAGGGCATGCACGCTGGTGAGCTGCTGTACCACTGTGCTGAGTGCAAGAAGGGCTTCTCTAGGTGGGATCACCTCCAAAACCACACGTGCATTCACGTGGGGAAGAAGCCATTCTCCTGTCCGCAGTGTGGGAAGCGTTTCACCTGGAGCTCCAAACTCATAAGGCACCTGCGCGTGCACACGGGAGAGAAGCCGTTCTCCTGCATCGAGTGCGGGAAGAGCTTCACGCAGATGGAAAAACTCACCAATCACCGGCGCGTGCACACAGGGGAGAAGCCATTTTCCTGCAGCCAGTGCAGAAAGAGCTTTACGCAGAGCTCCCATCTCACCAAGCACCTGCGCATACACACAGGGGAGAAGCCGTTCTCTTGCAGCCAGTGCGGGAAGAGCTTCACACAAAGCGACAAACTCGCCAATCACCTGCGCGTGCACACAGGGGAGAAGCCATTCTCTTGTATCCAGTGCAGGAAGAGCTTCACGCAAAGCTTCACATTAACACAGCACCTGCGCATGCACACAGGGGAGAAGCCATTCTCCTGCCCGCAGTGTATGAAGAGCTTCACCGATCACTCGAAGCTCATGTGGCACCAGCGTGCACACATGGGGGAGAAGCCATTCGCTTGCAGCCAGTGCGGGAAGAGCTTCATACAGAGCTCAAAACTCATCAGGCATCTGCGTGTGCACACAGGGGAGAAACCGTTCTCTTGTAGTCAATGCGGGAAGTGCTTCACGCAGAGCTCCACCCTTGCCAAGCACTTGCTTGTGCACACAGGGGAGAAGCCGTTCTCCTGCAGCCAGTGCGGGAAGAGCTTCACCCAGAGCGCCACGCTCACGCAGCACCTGCGCATACACACGGGGGAGAAGCCCTTCTCCTGTTTGCAGTGTGGGAAGAGCTTCACCGATCACTCGATGCTTACACAACACCGTCGCAGACACACAGGCGAGAAGCCGTTCTCCTGCACTCAGTGTGGGAAAAGCTTCATGCAGAGCTCCAATCTCACTGTGCACCTTCGCATGCACATGGGGGAGAAACCGTTCTCCTGCAGCCAGTGTGGGAAGAGCTTCACGCAGAGCTCCACGCTAACCACTCACCTGCGCGTGCACACGGGGGAGAAACCCTTTTCCTGCAGGCAGTGCGGGAAGAGCTTCACACAGAGCTCACAACTCACCAGGCACCTGCGCACACACACCGGGGAGAAGCCATTCTCCTGCCCGCAGTGTGGGAAGAGCTTCACCGATCACTCAATGCTCACACAGCACCAGCGCAGGCACACGGGGGAGAAGCCGTTCTCCTGTGGCCAGTGTGGGAAGAGCTTCATGCAGAGCTCCCATCTCACTGTGCACCTTCGCATGCACACGGGGGAGAAACCGTTCTCCTGCCCACAGTGTGGGAAGAACTTCACACGGAGCTCCACGCTCACCAGTCACCTGCGCCTGCACTCAGGGGAGAAGCCCTTCTCCTGCGGCCAGTGCGGGAAGAGCTTCACGCAGAATTCACACCTCACCAGGCACCTGCGTGTGCACCCAGGGGGAGAGGTTGTTCTCGTGCAACCAGTGTGAAAAGAGCTTCAGCAACAGCGCAACTCTCACAAGGCATGTGCACATTTGCTTGCACCTAGTGTGGGAAGGACTTTATGCAGAGCTCCAAATTCACCCATCACTTGCATGCACACATGGGAGAGAAACCCTTGTCTTGCAGTCAGCATGGGAAGAGCTTCACCTGAAGGTCATTGCCCACCAGGCATCAGTACATGCACATGGGGCAGAAACTGCCCTTGTGCCCAGTGCTAGAAGTGTTTCAGGAGCAGAATCGTTGCAATGAATGGAGTGCAGATTCCCTTGTCCTCCCTGGGCAGTGGGAGTGAGGGTCTTGCCCCTGGACTGTAACCCCCACCCAACACTCCCTCCTGCTTCCATGTGGTGTGACCAATGTGGGATGTTGTGATAGCTTCTGGTGGCAGCTGGGCCAGAGAAGACAACAGGCAAGAGCTAAGTGATGGAGCCAGGTAACAGAATAAGAGTCAGGGGGACACAAAACCAAAGTTGGCCTGATTAAAAAACATCCTTTCTTGAACCATCCAGTCCTAGGCTGCTACCTGTGGTAGCAAAGTGATCCCTTCCTTTTCCTTCCTGTGGTGTTTGGGACATCACCATCCTCATCTGTTTTTTACCATCCTTTATCTTGTCAAGTTCGGTGTCAACCAGACAGGTCCCCTGCTCCCACACGAGAGATTTTAGATGAGGCGCTCAATAAATGCAATATCCTTGAAACGGTTCTCAACTGCTGTGTCCTGGGGAACTCCCAGGCCGTCTCTGGTTCACTGCTTTGCTTGCTGCTTATCAGGTCTGGCCTGGCTGTCTGGAAAGTCTTATTTTCTTGGCAGGGAGGCATTCAGGATTGAACTGTTTCTCACTATCCTAAGGAGACCTTGCCTGTGGCTCCCATGATGGGATCCTATGACCCCAGCTGACTTCCTGCCCTTCGGGCCGGGGGCTGGACTCGATGATCTTGCGAGGTCCCTTCCAGCCCTAATGTCTATGAAATCTATGGGAACACCACCACAGCGATGATCCCCACCTTTCATTGACCTGACCCAAATTGGCAGCGACTGCAGAGGAGATCTTGTTCCATGCAGCCAGGCTTCCCCCAGTCTCCTCAACACCTCTGCAACCCAGGTTCAGCTGCAGGTGCCAGCCGGGGTGAGTCCCACGACTCTGGGTCTATGAGACCATGTGCTGGGTCAGTACAGTTACATGTGCCTAAACTTCTCCAATTAAACAGTATAAGAACTAAGCAGATTTGCTAGCAAGTGTGCACTCCAAGAGAAAAAGAGAAATCACTGCAGCATCGCACCCAGCTTAACCAGCAAAGGATCCTGCTTGGTGAAGGCTGCAAGACTGGACCAGCTTCCCCCACCTGCATTGGTGAGCAAACACTGCTGCAGCTAAACATGTACTAGGGGGAGAGAGTACACTGAAGAGCAGGGACGGAGGCAGCATGTGCCTTCCACACTGTCAGGCTTGGCCCTGTTGTAACCCCCTCTTCCCACACCAGGCACGAACAGCACCCCCCCGAGTCAGGATTGTAGAAAACTAGGACTGAGAAGGACCTCCGGAGGCCGTGTAGTCCAGCCCCTGCTGAAAGCACAACCAGCCCCAATTAGTTCATCCCAGCCAAGGCTTTTTCTAGCTGGCTTTCAAAAACCTCTAAGGATGGAGATTCCACAAACTCTCTGGGTAAATTATTCAAGTGCTTTACTACCCTCTGGACGTGTCTACTCATGAATTTACCCATGCCTAAACTAAAAGTGCCTCAGTCTAAGGCACATTAATGCGATTTAGGTTGGTGTCTATACAGGCATGCCTTATGGCACCTTAATGTAGCTTGCTGGGTGAACACGTTTGCAGCCTGCCTTGGGCAGCACCCTGGACAAGTCCCTGAAGCCCGTGGCATCCTGATCAGGCAGTGTAGCCCAGCGTCGACCAAGGGGGTGGGAGCCTCCAGCCCCCCCAGAACTGGTCAGCCCGGTCCTGGCCCTGGCTCTAACCCCTCCCCGTGCTCCTGCTTCCCCAGCCTGGGTCAAGAACACCCCACAAGGCGGTCATTCAGGCTGTAAGTGGCAAGAACAAGCAGAGGCAGTGATTCTCCCAGCCCCACTCTCCCATTTGGACTTTATAATTCAGTGTACCCCAATGGGATCATGGCATGAGCCTGCCTGGTATAAGGGACCAGGCATAGGCAGTCTTGCCTAATGGTTAGGCTGCCAAGAGGAAGCAGGGCCTATAGCAGGGGTGGGCAAAATGCAGCCCGCGGGCCAGATGCAGCCCACCAAGCCATTCTTTCTGGCCCAGGGGACCCCTAAACATTTAGAAAATTAATACTTAGCTGCCCCTGACTGCCTGTTATGCAGGCCTCGATGGCTTGCCGAAACTAAGTAAGTGGCCCTCTGCCCAAAATAATCGCCCACCCCTGGCCTATGGCTTGGTTAAAGAGCAAGAGCCATTGCATTTCTACACATGGGAGGACTTTCAAAGTTAATGGATTTGAGTCACACCAGAATCAGGATTTCTGTGCCTTTAAATTGAAGTCTGTTTTCTCTTGCCTCTTCTTCTCTGGGGGGAAAAAACTCTGATGGAAGCTGGCTGCTAGACCTCGTCCCTTTTTCATCTTGGGCCTGAAGAGTCCCTGTGCACACGAGGGATGACCCAAATCAGAGAGGTGTAAACTCAAAGATGCAGAAGGAAGGGGCTTTATGCCCAGTGCTGTCTGGACAACAGCATCAACAACCATGCGGAGGGCTGCAGCATGGACATGAGAGGGACAGACAGCTGTACCATCCATCCTGATTTTGCCCATAAGCTCAGCTAGTTCTTTTGTCCAAGGCCAAAATCCCACGGTAAGGCAGGGATTAATCACAGTGCGCAGAGCTGGCAGCATATGTGGTAGAAAGTGTGGCCAGTCTCCAGAAGGTGGCAAGGGCCCTAGAGGAGACCATCAGCCCCGCATCACTAACCTGCATAAGCATGATAGGGACCACTCCCCAAGGGGCCCTGGCTACACCCTTTTTCCCAACAGGCACCCCCTGGACCCAGAGTAGGACTTGAGAGGTAAAGCGAAAGAAGAGGAGGAGTACTTTATTCAGTACAACCACAGCCTTCCCAGCAGCACATGGGCATGACAGAAACACACCATGTGCAAGGCGAACTGAGTGTTACGCTCAAGCTGTTGCAAGAGAGACATGATTATATGGTGCCTTGAAGCCTCAATCTTCTGATGCAAAGTCAGACACCTTGGCCCACATGGTCCCACATAAAAGCAGCCTTCATTCCCCTTCTCCATTAAATCAGATGATGTGGATCTTTGTGCTCCCTTCCATGGTGGCAGATAGTCTTTGGGACCCACCCTTACGAAACGAATGAGCCCATTCATCCACTCCCTCAAGTGCAGCCCCTGGTGCCAGGCGCTGGCGGTGGGACCCATATACTGCTGCCACTGTCCCAGGCTGATCCAGGTGTTGAGGGAGGCCCAGGGTCACTCCTGCTGTGCGCTACCTGGGGGCTGTATGGAGCAGGTGCATGGGCTGCTGGGCTCCACGGGGACAGTGGGAGTGACAGTGAGGTCCCACCTGTCACATGCCTGATTCCTGCCTGGCTCTCGTGGGGGTCCCTTGCTGACCAGAGGGCTCCAGCTGTGAGCATTGCCTGCATGAGGAGCTGGGCTCAGCCAGGGACAGCAGCAACAGCAGCAGGCAATTCCCACCTGGAAGCAGGAGACAAAACTTATCAATGTGGCCTCAGGGGGTCTCGGGGTCCATTTGGATACTAGGGACAGAATCTTGCTGCCCTCAGCCAGAGATTTTGCTTGTGACTGGGGAAAAGACAGAGCTCTCTCTGGTGAAAGTTCACTTCATTGCTCTCTCTCAGACCACGATGCCAAGCATCCAGAAAAGTCCTTTGCTAACTTCTGCTTGGTTTCCCCCAGAGAATTGTTGGACTCCAACAGCAGCCGAACATGTGAGAGCTCTTCCTGTTGCACCCGTGGTGCCCTACTGCCGACAGGAGCAGATTCCAACAGGAACCTCCTGGGGAAGGCTCCCAAGGAAAGACAGGGTCCTGGACACGTGGAGGGAAGAGGAGCTCTGGCCTAAATTGGTTGGGAAAGGGAGAGCATGTCTACGTCAGTGTTTTTCAACTGTGGGATGCTATGAGATCCTGTTGGGGGTGGCTTGCTGCCCCTGTTGCCATGTGGCACTGCCCCGTGGTGCTCCCTTCCATGTCCTGCTGCATCCTGCCAGCTCCACAGCAACCACAAAGCTCCCTTTTGGCTCCCCCAGCAGCCAGGGGATCAGCACTGCTGGATCCAGCTCAGTCCAAGGGCTGAGTCTAGCTGCAGGCCAAGGGCTGAGTCTGAAGTCAGGAGGCAATGTACCAGCTCCAGGGGGAAATCCAGGGGCAGAGTCTACAGCGCAGGACGGGGACAGAATCCAGGGATCAGCAGCTGAGCGATCAAATCCAAGGGACCATCCACAGGTTGAAGTGGAAGAGCAGAGCCACACCGGGGTCAGGAAACAGAGCCAAAGGGAAATCCAAGATCAGTGTCCAGAAACAAGCCCCAACTAGGGTCAGGAAGCAAAAGAGAGTCAGAGAACACAGGACCCAGCAGTGTGGCCACAAGAAATGAGGTCAGACCTCATGTCTTTTCACTCTGAATGTGTGAAGTTATTCATTTGGAATAATTTTTCTCTACTTTGTGCTTTTTAAAATTTATTTGTTACTTATTAAAGTGAAATAAAGCATGTGTATTTAAATTGCTTTCTGACAAGAAATACAACAATATACATTTTCTTTCCTTCATTTTTTCTCAGGGAAACACTGATTTTTCCAAACTGATTTTTCCAAAATGTACTTATTTATTAAAATATTTACTCAAATCCACAATGAGGTTTTCTCCATCATTCAAAATGGGGAGAAACATGCCTCATCTTGGATCTGAGTATCAGCCCTATGTCTCAAGCTAGGGCAGGGGTAGGCAATTTTTTTGGGCAGAGGGCCACCTACCGAATCTTGGCACTGTCAAGGGTCACATGGGTAGCCCCGCCCTTTAGCAGGTGTCCCACCCCCTGGTCACCATCTTGTGGCCAGAAGTCCTGACCCACTAACCCCCAACCTTTGCCATCAGAGGTCCCTCCCCTTGCCCCGGAAATACTCCTTTCAGCAAGGGGTTTTTGCCAGCTCAGAACCAGAAAATACCAATTATATTCTAAAAATCGAACATCTACAACATTCATTAATTTGATTTCAAAAAATATTTTTGTCCTGATTTACATGTGCTTCTGTAGTGTGCACAGAGGTAATTGCACAATAGCTTAAAATGAAGTCTGACTCTTGTATATTGTGGGGAGGGGCATGGGGGGTGGGTATAGGTTTGTGGGGGTGTGGGTATGTGGTGTGTGGGCTAGGGTGTGGGTGTGTGGGAGGTTTGTGGGGGGGTGGATAGGTGTGGGGGGTGGGTGTGGGAGCATGTAGGTGTGTGTGTGGATATGTGGGGTGTAGGTGGGTGTGGGGGACTGTGTGGGGGGAAGGTGGCTGGGATGTGTGCATGGGTGTGAGGGTCTGCACGTGTGGCAGTGCGAGGGGGTGTGTGGGTGCATGTATATGGTGGGGTGTGCACGTGAGTCTTGCCCTACAAACACACACAAACATACAAACACTCTCTCCCTCCCTCACTGCAGACACACACACACACACACTCTTACTCTCTCTCTCTCCCCCCCACCCCCTGCTCCTGCAGTCGGTGATGCAGCCAGGGGCCATGTGGGGCTGGAGCAGCTGGCAAGCAGGCAGGGAGGCAGGGAAAGTTGCAGCAGGCAGAGGCTTCCAGTTGGGGGTTGTGGGGGTGGGGCCAGCGGGCCTTCCTTCTGGGTCCTGCTGGCTTCCCCTGGGTCCTCCTGCCCATCTCCTGTCATCTTTGACAGGCAACCAGGAGCAGATAAATATAAATTTTCTAAATTTTTAGGGGCCCCACAGGCCAGATAGAATGGCCTGGCAGGCCAGATCTGGCCACCAGGCCATATTTTATCCTTCCCTGCTCTAAACCATCCTAGCCATGGGTCTGTCCAACCTGCTTTCAGACCTCTCCAGGAATGGAGACATCCCCACCTCTCTAGGTAGCCTGTTCCAAGTTTCAACCCTCCCTGGGGGTCAGGATCTTCCTCCTCCTCTCCAGCCTGTTTTCCCTGCTGCAGCTGGAGGCTGCTGCTCCTAGTTCTTTCCCTGATGGCCATAAATGCCTGTTTCCATCTTCTCTGTCATTACCCCAAGACTGGGATCAAATCTCCACTCAGTCTTCTCTTCTCCAGACTCAAGCACCCAAGCTCTTTCAGCCTCTCCCCCTCAGCCCTGCCTCCCAGGCCCCTCATTATTTGTCCCCCTCTGCTGACCTCTTTCCAACCTGTCCATCATCAAGTGCAGGGTCCTGAACTGGACACAGGACTCCATGGGACGCCTCCCCAGTGCTGGAAAATCCCTGCCTTTGTTTTGCAAGTGGCACTCTTGCTCATGCCGCTCTAGAGGATGCTGATTTCGTTTGCTACCAGAGTTCACAGCTGGCTCAGATCCAGCTCATGATCCCTGGTTTCCCTCCCAGGTCATCTCTGCAGTGCTACAACCTGGCTACACATTCCCCAGGCTGGACTGGTGCATGTAATTATTCCCACCCACATGTGAGGCTTTGCACTGGTTGCCCATGACTTAGTTGTCCCACTTTTATTGATGATGAGATCGTGATCTGAGTGGAATGGGCAAAAATAGGCATCTGAATTATATAAATGAGACCTACACTATGATGGGCTTTATATGACCTGTTTCCACACACGAAAGAGACTTGGCAGTCATTGTGGAGAGTTCACTAAAGGCATCAGCTCTGTGCCCAACCACCTGAAGAAAGCAATGGAAATCTTAGGGGTGATGAAGAAGGGAATTATGAACAAGATGGAAAGCATCACCATGCCCCTTTATGGAGGGGCTTCCATAAGAGGAGAGGCTAATGAGGTCAGGCCTGTTCAGGTTGGGAGATGCTTAAATGGGGACAGGACAAGGGTTTATAATATACTTGGGGGGAGGGGAGGAAGAAAGTTAATCAGGATTTATTCTCACCTGTCTCACCAGACAAAAGCGAGGGGTCATTGCATGAAACAAGCAGGCCCTCAGTTTAAAATGAACACAGAGTTCTTCTTTCTGCAAGGCAATGAGGATTCATCCCCCAGCTACCACAGCCCACATCACACCTGCTGCAGGTGAGTGCAGATCCTACCCGCCCCCCCCCCAGCAATATTCACTGCAGGTGCACGGTGGCCTCACACTTGCCCAGGGCAGGACAGGTTGCCCACAGTGCCCCCTGCTTGTGTCCTGAGGATGTAACATCCCCCCATCGCACCTGCCCCACGTGAGCATAGGCTGTCCCCCAGGGCTCCCTGCTAGGCAGTGAAGGCACAGCACCCCTGCCCTATCACAGCCCATGTCACAGCTGGCCCAGGTCAGGTCTGATGCCCCCGCCCCCAGAGCACCCCTTGCAGGAGCGTGACAGTATAACACCTCCACCAGCCTATTAGTGCCCCCATCACCCATGTCCCACACACACAGACACACACACAACCCTGGTGTCCGGGACACAGTCACCTGCACCAGGTAAGTGCAGACCTCCCCTCACCCTGCATGGGTGCTGTAAACCCCCCCCCGCTGAAATATCTACCAAACTCTGGGCATGCTCTCACCTCCACAGCACCCCCTGCAGGTGGTGTGAGGGTATAACACCACCCCAGCTACCACAGCCCACATCCCTTGAGTCCAACACACACACACAACCCAGGCATTGTGGGGACAGACCAATGCCTGTGCAAGGTCACCATAGCAGTCCCCTACTCAGCTGTGGGGGAGAGATTGGGGCAGGAGGGACACTGTGGTGGGGGAGAGGGGTCTCCAGCACTGGGGATTTTCTCCACACACGCACACATATACGCTCAGAACCCAGGCATCTTGGGCACACATGCACACAAACATACACACACACACACACCCCAGGCATCCAAGAGACACCCACCATACAGCCCACCCACACCTACACACATGGATCCCAGGAGTGAGACACCCACAGAGCCACCAGCACACACATGAAACTCAGGCATCTGGGACACGCACACCCCACCCGTGCACACACAGGACTGAGGGAGACCGAACACACACACACAGGACCCAGGAGTTGTGTTTGTATCTGTGCACACAGTCCCAGATGCCTGGGTATGCATGCATCTGTGCTAGGGGGGTTGGGGCAAGGGTTCAGTGCTGGGGGGACAGGGCATAATGCAATGGACGGGGGCAACACAGGGCTCCAGCAGGGCAGGGTATCCTGCTTGGCATGGGGGGGGTCTGTGGCTGGGAAGCAGGGCATGTCCTGGGGGCAAGACACCCCCTGGCCCTTGCACTCAACACACACCCTGGATGCCAGCAGGGCCCAGGCAGGCAATCTTTGCCCCTGAGGCCCTTGGACCCCCTGACTTCCTCCAATATCACCCTGGCCACCCAGCCCCAAGATCCCCCAAACTCCCCACAGTCTCCCACATCCCCCTGACATCCACATCCCAGCCCCTCATCATCACCCAGGCCTTTCAACCTCCCTGAACCCTGCCATAGTTCCTCAGGCCCGGCCAACTGCAACCCCAGCCCCCACAACCCCTGAACCCCAAGCCCCCTGAACAACCCTGACTCTCCAATCCCCCCAACTGCCCCCAGATCCCCACCACCCCAAGTCCCCCAATTTCAATGTCTTCCAACCCAGCCCCCAACACCCACCCCAACAGTCCCTGCCCCTGGACTCCTGACCACCACCCAGCCCCCCCCCTCCCATGATCTCCCTTCCCTGCAACCCAACCCACACCCCGAACTCCTGGCCACACCCCAACCCACTTGATCTCCCTGCCCCCCAATGCAGCTCCCCTGACCCCCAACCACCCTAGCCCACCATCTCCCCTGAACCCACTCCTAGCTCCCCTCACCCCATCCTCAGCCTTTGTCCCCCTGATTCCCAGCCCAGCCTCCTTGCTCCTTCCCACCACCCCAGAAGTGGGGGCAGGGAACCCCCTATCCCCAGTGGAGGGGGGCCGGGAGGTCCTATACGTAGGTGGAAAAGGAGCCTCTGATAGCCATGGTGGGGGGTGAGGAACACCCTATATCCTTGGAGCATGGCAGGCAGGTAGGCAGGCAGGGGAGTCCCTGATACAAAGCGAGTCCCCATACCCTGTGGGGACAGCAGGGAATAGGAGGTTTTCACTTTTACTAGGCAGACACATTTGAGTTTGTGACTGAGACTGGAATGAACTGTCCGCAATAAGACACCTCTTACATTGGCCAAGGAAAGAGCAAGGAAACTCATAGAGAATATTTCCCAGAGGACAGAGGGGGGTCCAAAGGAGTCTACAAGGGAGAGCACAGAGCAGAAAAGGAGCAGGGACATCCCACCAAGAAGAGACAAGTCCCATCAATGTGGTGAAGGGAGAGCTTCCCCTACTCCCCACATCACTCCTGTTGCCCATGAGTCTCTCCGAGTCCTGCAGACCCAGCACCCTCCTGCTCTCTCCATGCCCAGGACCTGGCAAGAGACAGAAAGGACAAGTCTCTGTGCCCAAAATAGCGATGCCAGAGCCACCAGGTGTGATCACCTCCTCCATGATGGCAGCACATGGGGTAGTCACTTCCCCAGGGGCAGTGGCAACATCAGCCCCTTGAGAAGCCTCCCTGAGCCCCTCCACAGCCCCTATGGCAAAGGCTTTGCTCCCCACTACTGTTTCTGGTCATGGCTAGGAGCCTGCTCAGAAGTCTTATGTCCTGTTCCTACCCCTGGGGAGCTGAGTCCCGCGGTGGCCTTTGGTGCAAAGGCTGTGCTTTGGTGGCTGCTGTCTCTGACCTCTGAAACCCCAACACCCAATCTGGGGTCTCTATATCATACCCCTTCTGCTTGCTGCCTGGGCTGGGAGCAGCCCCAGGCACCTCTCTCAGTGGGAGGCCCCAGGATACAGCCTGAGCTACCTCTGTCTGAACACACACCCCTGGTTTCTGCACTGGAATGACTCAAGAGCTACCAGGGAGGGGGAAGGTCTCCCTTGACTCCTCCCTCCCTGGAGGTAGCAGAGGTAGGGACAGCATTTCCTTGCAGGGGCCAAGTGCTTTGGGGGTTGCAGGGGTCTCTGGGGAGCAAGCAGCAGGACACGTGTCCCCATGACAAACATGGAGACAAATGCTTTGGTACTAGCAGGGAGGCCTTACTATTCCCAGTGGGAGATTAAAACATGCTGCATTTCACCCAGAAGATGTCTTCATACTTTTCCCTTCCTTCCACAAGAGAGGCAGAACCTGCCACATCCTTCACCCCTGCTCCCCATTTCACCCAAAAAAGAGATTTCACTGCCCCCTGGCCAGAGGCACATTCAAAAGGACAAGATCCTTGCTGCACAGCAAGACATGGGAGTGAAGCCCTGAGTGTGATGAACTCCTTTTCCCAAGGCTCTGCTACAACCCCGGGATTGCAGTGAATCCTCTAGAAAGGGAATTCACAAAAATATCTGCCCTGGAAAGGGTGCTGGGCCCTGGTCTGTTCCCATTGCACAACTCAGCAGAGGACACAGAGACCAACCACAGGGATATCATGTTCAGTTCTAGAGCTTTAGTCAAAAATGTATTATAGAGAATGAAATGAAGGGAAGGAGGGGAGAGAGAGCAGGCAGCCAGCAGCACAGAGTTTTGGAGAGAGGTTGCAAAGCAAAACCTGCAAAACTGGGTCCAGGGTGGCAGCAGGACCTCCTTGTAGACACCCAATGGGCATGAGCAGGCCAAGGAGAAGGCCAATGTGGTGGGGAAGAAAGGCAAGGGAAGGGTGGAGGGCAGGGAATGCTTTTCCTGCTATAAATGTCCTCTTCACTACAGTTCAAGAGCCTCATTACCAGAACCATGGGAACAGGAAGGGGGGTTAAGCTGGGAGGTGATAAGGGTGTCATTTGGAGCCACTTGTCTTGGGGAAGACATCCTATTGTGAAGGTACTTGTTCTCCCCCTGGGAACACAGACTGCTTTTAAACATTTAGAGAATGATGGGGAATACACAGGCTCCAAGACTGATGGGAAGAGTGAGTCCTCTTCCCCCAGCTTTTGGGCTGGCCCCTGTGTGGTTGCACTGGTGCTGGACCAGGTAGTAAGATTAGGAGAAGGCATTCCCACACTCCAAGCACCAATGTGGCCTCTCCCATGTGTGGATGAACTGGTGCTGTGGCCAGGTGGGAAGAGCAAGTGAAGGATTTCCCACGCTCAGAGCACTAATGTGGCTTCTCTCCTATGTGGATGCGTTGGTGCCAGATCAGGTGGGAGGACTGGATAAAGCTCTTCCCACACACAGAGCACTGATGCGGCTTCTGCCCCGTGTGGATGCGCTGGTGCTTGATCAAGCTGGAGGAGTGGGTGAAGCTTTTCCCACACTCAGAGCACTGATGTGGCTTCTCCCCTGTGTGGATGCGCTGGTGCTCGACCAAGTGGGCAAACTGGCTAAAGCTCTTCCCACACACAGAGCACAGATGTGGCTTTTCCCCTGTGTGGATACGCTGGTGCTGGGCCAGGTTGGAGGATTTGGCAAAGCTCTTCCCACACACCGAGCACTGATATGGCTTCTCCCCTGTGTGGATGCGCTGGTGCTCGGCCAGACTGGAGGACTGGGTAAAGGTCTTCTCACACACCGAACACTGATAGGGCTTCTCCCCTGTGTGGACACGCTGGTGCCGGGACAGGCTGGAGAAGTGAGTGAAACTTTTCCCACACACAGAACATTTATATGGCTTTTCCCCCATGTGGATGTACTGGTACTGGACCAGGTGGGAGGATTTGGCAAAGCCCTTCTCACACTCCAAGTACTGATGTGGCTCCTGTCCCATGTGGATGCTCTGGGGCTGGGCCAGGTGAGAGGATTGGGTTAAGCTCTTATCATACTCAGAGTGCTGGTATAGCTTCTCCCTTGTGTGCATTTGCATGTGCCTGGCCAGGCTGGAGGGCTGCCTAAAGTTCTTCCCACACTTGGTGCAGTGGTGTGGCTGCTCCTTCCTCTGCACACACTGGTGCTGGGACAGGCCTTGACAACACATGAAGTTCTTCCTGCACTTGGTGCAGCGCTGCATCTTCCTCCCCAAGTGGATGCTCCAATGCTGTGCCAGGGAGGATAAATGGGTGAAGGTCTTAGCACACATAACACAGCAGTACTGATGGTTCTCTCTGTGCATGTGTTGGTCTTTGATCAGGTCTGAGGGGCACACAAAGTTCTTCCCAGTTTTGGTGAAGTGGTGGGGGAGCTCCCCAGAATGGATTTTGCAGTGAGCATCCAGGGTTGAGAGGCAAGGGAAGCTCTTCCCGCACTTGGAACATATGTAGGTCTCCTCCCCAGTATGCTTGATCTTGTGCAGAGCCAGGAGTGAGGGGCAGCTAAAGCTTTTCCTGTGCTCAGGGCAGGGGTGGGCTCTCCCCTTGGGCTTGGTGATGAGCTCCTGCTCCCCTCTCGGGCCATCTCCACTGGCGTTGTTTGGATGCAGTCTCTCTCTCCAGTGGAACTCTGCCTTGTGGTTCTTCAGGTCTCTCAGCTCCACAAATTCTTCCCTGCACCCAGGGCTCTTTCTGGCTTGGGTCCCTTCTCCACTCTCATGCCCAACTGGAGATGCTACCTGATCCACTGCTACATTTTCCTTGTGCTTATGGGGCCTCCCCTGACTGTTGTGCCGTGGCTCCTTCTCAGGTCTCAGTGAGTCCAGCGCACCCAAACACCCTGTGGAAGCTTGTGGTGGCTCCAGGTCTGCAGGCTCTTCCTCAGGAGTCTGCTCCTCAGCTCTGCTCAGCAGCCAGGCACCTCCTGCGTGGGGAAGAGAAACTCCAGATTAGTTCCTGCCCTGCAGGCAAAAGGCCAACACTGCTATTCCTTCTGCTGGGATGGGCCTCTGAGCAGGACTGGATATTGTCACCTGTGTTTCCTTAAGAAAACAAGGTCTTCTTTCCAGACCTCAAGTGCTGTGTGTGAGAGGTGGGCAGGTCCCTGTGCCATGCTAACGTTTCCTACTTGGTGGATTTCGGAGTGAGATTCGCAGGGCGTCTGGCCCAGTTGTCAGCCCCATCACCTCAGACCCTGCTGGGACAAACACATGTGGGACATGTGCATCACAACACATCAATGGCTTCATGCTCAAATGGGCTGAGGATGAAAACAAAACAATCTGCTTAAAGCAAGAGTGATGCTCTCTAGGGACTGCTATGTCCCACAGCATGGGTGGGGCATGGGAAGATGATGCCAAGCACCCTACCTGAATGGGCTCATGTGCTTCAGAAGCCAAAGTGCATATGTGAGACTGCTCTGTAGTGCTCGCCCCTGATCTCTGGCAGTCTTGAGAGCAGCATTTGTGTGTGCAAGGGTAAACAGCCTCATGGCGGATTTTTGAGGCTTGTCAGCAGTCATGGCTGCATTAGGAGCTCTGCCTTACATTGGACCTGCTGCTTCTGTGGCACACACCAGTGTTTCCAAGGGAAACCAGATCTGTGCCTAAAAACCAAGGCAGCAAACTCGATTTTTCCCCTAACAGCTGTAATTAGGGAGGAAAGAAAGGAACAGTTGCTTTTCTCCACAGCTCTGAATTTCAGAGTGGGAATAACAACTGCCAGGACACATTACAAGATAAGCTATTTTAGGTCGGTGCAGGGCCCCTGTCAGTGTGGGGACAGGACATGAGTGGAGGGGACTGCTACAACTCACCTGGCAAAAGGTCCTCCGACCTTGAGATTTCCCCACGGTCCTCATCCTCACAGACCCAGAGCGCCACCTCTCCCCGCTGGATGCGGCGGATTAAGTCAGGTGTGGGACCTCGATAACCTGTTTGGGGCAGTGGTTAAAGCATGTTCGTGACTCGGTATTGGATGGACAAGAACAAACCAGGATTTGGGGAATGGATCCCTTCAACTGAAGGATTCTACTAGGATCCTGAAGGAAAAGGGAAGATGGACATTTAGGATGAAAGGGATGGCACTGCAGGGAGAAGCTTTCAATAAATGATGGTCCTTGTCACCCAGGTAGTGGAGGGATGCTCATAGGAAACAAACAGAAACCACTTGAAAGTACAAAAAGGGTAGGGATCTGACAGTGTCACGACAGACAGAGGTGATGATGCAGTGATCTGTGAGGTAGTGGAAAGCAAAAAAGCTTTTGCTATTTTCAAGCTATCAAAATTTGGAGACATTGGACACCCTCATGGATGGAGAACAATTATCTTATCGGTATAACTCAAAGCAAAGGAGTGGAAATGGGTTTCTTCTCAGCAAAGGTTTGAAGTGAGGCCTCATGGCATTGAAAAGAATCCGCAACAGACGGCTCACAAGGAACCTTTTTTTTCCTGGGAGAGAGGGTAATTCATCGTCAAGAGGGCACAGAGAGAAGATGATTTTATAACTGTAGATGCAACTAAAGCAATCACCTCATCCAGTGGAGGATGATCCCAGTGCCGAGATAAGTGCACAGGCTGGCAGAGACTTCAGGGTTTATAACAAAGCACATGGGACTCAAGGAGATGGACAAAAGAAGGAAAATGGGAGACACATTTTATAGCAAGTGAAAACCTATAATGTGGAACTGATCTACAGAGTTTTCCAAACCAAGGACATCGCTAGAATCATATCTAAAAGAGAGGGCCATTCCTGACCAATAAATTGCACCAGAATTAGAAACAGAGATAGTACCATAGTGAAACTGAGATATCTTGTGAGAGCCTAGTGGCCAAACACAGCATACTACTTGATAGCTTTGGGCTACTTCCTAAATATAACAGAAGAATTGGGGGAGACATGGCATGGTAGAAATTAGCTTGTAGAGAATGCCTGAATTTATGTAGGAAAGTCAACCAACAGTCTTCCTATAATTATAAAGACCTTGATGCAGGTACACTTTGGGATACAGGGAAGGTGTCTGCGCTCTTATCTGTAGAAACAATATTAGGTGAAACCCAGCCACATCAGGAAAACCAGGTGGCAAAACTTGTGGAGGAATGTATAGGTTTCATGAAGTACTGAAGCAAAGAGAAGCCCTCAGGAAATGGCAAAGCTGGATTTGGAACAAGTCTTATGCAGAAAAGATAAGAACGGTATAAAGGGGAGCAGTCAGAGAAGTAGCACTGAATTACTTGCATGAGAAACTGAAAATTGAATGAGCAAACAATTTCTAAGCTGGCTAAAACCCACCATGCATAAAGAAATGACTTGTATTCTGAACTCACTGCTGTTAGTGCTAGAAAAGAGGATGAACACACGGTCTCCACCAGGTCTTTCATGCCTGAAAGGCATATTTTGAAATTTTATTAAAAGGAGAGTTACTCAAAGAACATTTGCATCTGCTGACCCTGGGCACGTCTACACGTGCAAATGCTACGCAGTGGGTTTACTCCACAGTAACTTATTGCAGAGTAAACACGCCCTGAACAGACGTCTACAAGTGTAGGTATCTGAGCACAGGTTTGCGCCCAGTGGCAGCAGCCCAGAGAGGGTTGCTCCCACCCTGCTCTGCCCCCCTGAAGACTGGGAGCTGCCTGCTTCCAGGGCAGGGCAAATGGCAGAGCCTGGGCTGAGAAACGCCCCCTGCCACAGTACCAGGAAGCTCCTGGTCCCGGCTCTGTGACTGGGGGCTGGGAAAGAGCTGTAGGGGAGGGGCAAGTCTCAGCCCCCACAACCCCCTGCCTGAATTCACCCGTGGGGCAGCTAGCAGTGAGCCACAGCTCTTTCCAAGCCCCATGCCCTGATTGTCTGATTGAGGCGTGGAGCTGGGAAAGAGCTGCAGGGCTGAGACCTGCCCCAGACCACCTGGCCAGCACTGTGCTGCATGGAGAAGTATGCACGTGCGGCATGGAGCTGGCTGGGACCCGTCTGAAATGGGACACTTGTCAGCCAGCTCCAGGCTGCACATTCAGGCTTCCCTGCACAGCCTGGGGCTGGCTGGGAATTGCCCCGGTCTGGGGTAGGTTCCAGCTAGCTCCAAGCTGGGCGGGAACTGTGCCCATGCAGGAAGCTCCCGGGCCAGGCTCTGCAATCAGCACAGGGGTTAGAACAGGGGTGGGCAATTATTTTTAGTGGAGGGCCGCTTACTGAGTTTTGGCAAGCTATTGAGGGCCACATGACAGGCAGCCAGGGACAGATAAATATTAATTTTCTAAATTTTTTAGGGGCCCCATGGGCCAGAGAATGGCCTGGTGGGCCGCATCTGGCCCACGGGCCGCATTTTGCCCACCCCTGGGTTAGAAGATTGCTCCCTGCTACCAGGACAGGCTCTGATGGTGAAGCCTGGGTTGGGACAATGTCCCCCTGTCACAGCAGCAGGGAGCTGCTGGGCCTGGCTCTGCTATCAGAGATGGGGCTGGAAGATTGCTCCCCGCCCCCTGTACCTGCCTGCTGTCAGGTTGGGCTCCAATGGCAGAGCCCAGGCTGGGATAATGTCCCCCTGTCTTGGCAGCAGAGAGATCCCAGGGGCAGAGACCCATCTCCCAGGCCCCACCCTGATCACGGAGTCAGGACAGGAGCTCCATGCTGCCAAGACAGGGGGACACTGTCTCAACCTGGGCTCTGCCACTAGAGTATGCCCTAGCAGCAGACAGCTCCTGGGGCAAGGAGCAATCTCCCTCCCCCTGCTGCCTGGTTAACTGGGAGCAAATGTGCTCCCAGACAGCCGTCTATGCATGCCTTGCTGCACAGTAGCTACTCTTGCAGGTAGCAAATTAACTGCAATCAAACCAATTGATTGTGTTATATGCCTCTGCACATGCAGATGGTGATGCTTACTTCACAATAAATTGATCTACTGAGCAGTAAAGTGTCTCATGTAGACGTGCTCACTAAATTAAAGATGGAATTCCAGGGGACAGTGCAGAGCAAATTAGGAGAGTAGTAAACTTAAAAAATTGGTAAGTAAGAGAGGTGTACTTCCACCTAGTCTGTGGAAGATCCTAAAATATTAGGACAGTAACAGGATGGGAATTACCATATTTCATCTAGAAAATGAACAGGATAAGAGATTGGGAGTGAAAGGTGACTAACATAGTATCACATTCCTTGTTCAAAGAGAGAGGTAGTAAATATCAATGTTGCAATGACTGGAGAGCAGTTACTTAGACACTCCTTGAAAAAGGTAAGGAAAAAGTTATTGCAGCTAGACTCAAGAGGACCAACAACATGAGTGATAGTCAGCATGTTTTTAGAAGTGTGCAAAAATTCTCTGACATACTCAAGATAATTGCATAAAACAATAAAAGCCTCTATCTGGTCTTTGCTCAGCTAGAAAAAGCATTTGAGAATTTCCCTAAGGAAGTCCTTTGGGGGAAGTGGGAAAAGAAAGCACCAGAAAAGCAAACTGACCCAGTAAAAGTTAAGTATCTCAAGCCTACACACAAGCCTGAACAAGCCCTTGTATTAGAGATCCTTTGGAAGTGAAAACAGGTTTTCACTAGGCCCTGCACCAAGCCAAGTTCTTTTTATCACAGGGATGGGTGTCAGACATGCAGAAGGAGTTTAGGAGGAGGACAAGGAAACGTCTGAGACTGGCAGTGTGAACTTGAGAGCACAGGTCTCAAAGCAAGTACAGCAAAGCCAGAGTCGGGGGTCTATGGAGTTGAAGATGTTAGGAAGGATGGTGGGCAAAAGCTTCCAGTGACTCCTTCCTAGAAGTACCTGGGCTCCATCACGTGTACGTATGTCACTAAAGAAGATGAAGAAATGCAAAATCCACATTGTAGCAGCCTAGGCTGATAAGACTTTCATTAACTTCTGCCTGGTAAGAACCGAAGGAGGAGAAAGAGGATTTAGACAGCACTGCATCCAGCACACTTGGATTCTTAAAGGTGTTTGGACCGGAGACGCTAGGCCAAAGAGGGAGGAAATCAGAATAATTCTACAAGGAAGAGCTGTAAGTCAGTTTTTATGAACAGTGGATTGGAGATGATGTGAATATGCTGAGAAGGCAAAGGGAGATCATGCTGCCAAGAAACTGCTGAATATGGAAGCACCAGGAGTTACAAGAATAGAGAAGACTCAAGGGAAGGCAGCTGAATCAAATGAAGGAGGACATATCGATATGAAATGTAAGAGAGGCCTGATCACTCACAGAGCAGTGGGGAGGAAGAAGATTTAACCACCAGCCAAAAGTTCATGAGGCTTGAAAAACACGGAGAAAACAATACACTTCAGAGTTCACATAGCACTAGGGATAAGCAAGAACCAGAGCTTTACCCAGGGAAATGAGGGCTTGGTAATTCCTCAGCATCTGGTCCCGGTAAAGCACCTTGTCTTCATCCTCCAGCAGCTCCCACTCCTTCCGTGTGAAATGAAGAACCACATCCTCAAAGGCATCCAAGAGCTGCAGTCACAAGTTTTACACCATCAGTATCTTCTGTTCCAGCTGCTCCCAGGTCCCTCAGCCCTCTGTACTTATTTCTGTACTACAGAGTTTTGCAAGCTTAATCTTGACAGGTAGGGGTACAAAATTCCCTATTAAACACTTGCCATGTTATGTGGATATGGCTCTGTGGACATAGGAGTTAATGCTTCTGCCTTAGCCCATCGCATACAGGGAGACAGCACAGCTAATTTTAGTTGGCATAGGGTGCTACCCCAGGGGAGACTCTGTAGTGTACGTGCTCTAAGTCGTCCTTGGGAAGCTGTTTTCATTTCAGTGACTCTGAGCGAGAACCACTGCATGGGAGAGGGGACCCAAGAATTTATCCTTCTCCAGCAGACACCACCCAAGGGAACTCCCCAAGGGAACTCCAAAGCCTGGCAGAGTGATGTCAGGAGTTTTCCTTTGCTTCCCTTGCGGCTTTGGGGTTGGAAGCTAAGAGCCTGCACTCTAGGGTGTGACTGGCTGGCTCCATACAACACAGGGTACTCCCCCTCCGATGATGTCTCTCTTGAGCAGGGGCTGCTACAGATATCTCTGCTGTGTCTGAGGAGAGAAAATGAAATTAAGGGGAAGAAGGCGAGGCTGCAAGGGGGAATATGGATCCCGCAAGGCGGCGACATGTAGGAGCGTGTCAGGCCCAGAGCAAAATGAGTTCAGAAAGAACTGGAAGAAGAAACGTCGTTTTCAAACTCCAGGAACTGTCATTTGCAGTCTCTGGAAACAGAGTCACACAGTTTCTGGATTCTTGGGCAGAAGTCACACATCAGCATTAGAGGTATACCGATACTTCGGGCCCTATCGTACCGATAATAGGAAAACTGACATTGCCGGCAATCTGCTTTTTTTGGCTGATGTGGTCGATAATGTTGCCAATAAATGCCACACAGGCACAGCATGTGTGCAGAATGTGTGTAGCTGCAGCATGCATGCGGCCAGGAGTACAGCCTGGCAGCTTGGGGCGTGGTGTCTGGCTCGTATGTTGGTTGGAGGAAAGAGGCATGGAGGATGGAAGGGGCCTGGTGGGGGGCAGGTCGAGGCCCCCCCCCACAGTGAAGGAGGGAGTGGGGCTGGGGCCGGGACAGGCACTGCCTAGCTAGGATGGGGTGGGGCGTGGAACAGAGCCAGCGCCTAGTCCAGGGGGAGCAGGAAGAGCAATGTGGGGAAGGCTCACACCCCTGCGCGCACTCTCGGGGGAGGCATGGCGGGCATGTGCCTCCCCAGATCTGTGCACAGGGTGAGGGTGTGCTGCCCACTAAGTGCTTGGAGCCGGGCTGCTCCAGCCTCTTCTTGGTGGCTGGGCTCGGACCAAGCAGAGCAGGTGGCAGTGATGCTGGGAGGAGGAGCTAGAGTGGGGCTAGAGCCACTCCAAAATTGCCATAGCCCCCACTCCCAGCACTGTGTGAAGCCTGCAGCCTGTCTTCACCATGTGTACAGATCCAGGG